CAGGGACTTTATCTGCTGTGTTCACAGTACCTAAAGGACTGAAAGCCCTCTAATGTCTGACTGTGTCTTATCTTTCCTGGAACTCATCCATCCCATAACGTAATTAAGCACGTTTATTTTAAATTGCTGGAAAGAAACCGTTAATGCTTGTGTTATGTTTTAACTTGCTTTCCTTTGGAGGCAGGGAATTGTCAAGTAAGTACTAACACGGAGCCCAGGAAAAGCCCAGCTCGCTGGGAATGTGCCTTGCAGGCTGCACAGGTCCAAAAGGGCAAAGGGATGTCATTTGCTGCAGTGCAAATTTCTTGTCTTGACAGTGTCATCTTCTGTCTCAAATCAAATTAGGTGTAGTTATGGGCTTGTTAAAAATGAAATTACTCTTAAAATGTTCAAAATGTGCTGCTTTCCGTTCGTTGTATTGAGATGGTGACAAGGCAGTGACTGCACACGTGTGTATATATACATGTCTATGTATATATGAATGCACACAACATCTGTGTTCGTGTGGACGTGAATAGATATCTCTCTGAGTATTTGTGTGTGTGTGTCTCCAAATTAAACCTCATGCTTACAATCTGGTGACTATCAAGCATGTCACAGTGGTAGTGTTCTCTTGCTTTCATAAAAATTTTGGCTTGCTCTTGTCGTCAACTTTGATATTTGTAGGTGAAGAAACGTGAAAACGGTCTGTTCTGAAATGACACTAAAACAGAAAAAAGAGCAGGAAGCCTACGAGAAAATGATTCTTTTCCTAAGTGCTGGTTCAGAGGCCTCATAAACCTGGGCTGAAATGAATTAGTCCATTTGTTTTGTAAGAGAATTAAGTTTTGCAGTAGGTTCCTATGCCCTTCCCTGCCGGTGCTGGCACTGCTGCTCCGTGTTGTGTGAGGGGACTCCAGTGGCCCCTCTCAGAGAAAATAAAGGTACTTGTTCCCTGTGCACAAAGCAGGACAGGCTGTCCTGGCAGGGACTTGGCCAACCCACAATTATGGGCCAAACAGCAGCCTGAACTGGGATAGGGAACAAGCACTCATTGTGTGGGATCTCCACAGCGCTCAGGAGCCTGACAACTTCCTCCCAGCTTCCATCCCTGTCAGGTACCTGAAAACAAACAGCAGTGGAGTCCCGTTCTCCTCCAGTAGAAAGAGTGCAGGAAGCAGGGCTGTAGCTTCCTTTTCCCCTCCATCCCCCAGGATCTGTAGCTCAGCGTGCCCAGGGGTGCCAGGGTGCCATGGTTCCGGTCTGTACACTGGTGCACTCTTTAATTTCTGTTTTAGTTCTTGCTGGCATGCTTGGATAGCACGTGTTGTGCCACAGGGAATGACTGCTCGGCTCTGAAAGTGCTTGTGCATGAGTAACTGCTCAGAAATAACACCTAAACTCTATTAAGTTTCTTGCTTGGCTTTGTTTGCTGCTTACGAGGGGATCAAGGTAACTCTTTCACTCTTCTAATGTCACGAGATCACCCGCTAATGTAGCCGTTGGTCCTTAGGGAGTTTGCTTTGTTCTGTTCCTCCCCCAGTCAGTATTTTTGCTGTGTAGCAGTAACTGTTCCAGCTGTGGGGTTTGTCAGTGGTTGCCTGTAATCCCTCCCGTAAAAACCCAGCTCCAGAAAAAGCAGCTCCCTGTAAGCCAAAGGGATTTTATTCTTCTGCAGTTAATTTTACTGCTGGTTGCGGTCTAAGGACAAGAGCAAATTTCACAGCATATGGAATGTACAGCAAGGATGCACCGTTTGGAAATCCCAAACTGTGGGAATGCTTTCCAAATGCTCCCCTTAGCCTTGTGCCTCTTTTTTCTTGGCAGGATCAGTAGCAGCACCAGAGATTATCTGGCCTTAAAGACCATTTGCACACATCAGATTTTGTCTCAGCCTTTGTCTTTGTAGCTACTTTTAGCAACTGTAATTCTATAGAAATGCTTTGCTGGCCTTGGTCTCTTTAATTCACATGGATGAGTGACCTGTACATTTAAATGGAATCATTTTATCTTTAATAAAATCTTCTCAAAATCATATTAAAGTCATGTCAGGGTTTTGGGATGGGGTTTCTCAGAAGAAGCAGGGTTGGGCAGAGGTCAACTGTCAGCTGTAGAAAATCTTTTAGATCGTTTCTGAAAGCACCAATTTGCTATCATTTCACATTCAAGGTTTTTTCCATGGATTTGTGTCATTGTGTTTTGGGTTTTTTTAAGTGGTGTAGAGTGGTCTGTTGTGCCACTCACCCACAAAATCCACATCAATGTCATTTCTGTTCTTTCCATCAAAGAGTGTAGGATTTTAGTCAGTTTATTGTACAGCTCTAAAAAAGGCATGGAGCTAATGCAGGGACAACTGGCCATTTCCTGCTCACACACAGAACGTGTGCTGTGCTTTTGAAGGTTTTATTTCACGTTCAAACATATCGATCATCTCCTTTTTTCAATGTTCCTTTCAGGCCACCAGTGAGCAGAGCTGCTCCTCAGCCCGAAAAACTGCAGAAGAACAACGTCCACAAAAAAAAGAAACTGGTTGAGGTCTGGCTTCAAACTTGTTCAGTTGCTTGAGAAGTGACATGTGCTGGGTGAAACCCATCCCTGGTCTGTGGGCAGTTTGCAACACTTGGTCTGTGGCTGTCATTCACATCGTTCCAAGGGAGCTGGAGCTGTGTGTGGGACAATCATTAAATCCGTTTTCAGGGCTGGAATGCAGCTTCAACAACAATCCATTAACCATCCCTGTGTTTCTGCAGGAAATTTCCTTGGGAATTGCCTGTTGTAAGATGCAATTACACCTCTGATTAATGTTTGAAGTACAGAGTTACTGTAACCTGCTTTGGCTTCCTTTAAGGACTTTGGGGCCAGAATTTGGGCTGATGAAATTTGGTAGTTTATGAGAATGATTTTTGAAAACTCTGTGAATGTCTTTATTTCTTTAACATATCTGATACCCTATATGTCTATGTAATATATAGATATTAAACTGTGATGGGAAGAGTAATGAAATCAGTTCTGGAAGTTGTAAGTGTTTTGAATGGAAATGCACAGAAACAAAACATTTACATTATTAAAGAAATAATGGTATAAGGGCAGTCCCTTAGTTGACCAGTTAAAGTGTTGGAGACAGTCCATGAGAATGTCGTGCCTCCATAAATGAGCAGAACTGGGATAACTAACTATTGTTTAATTATTCCATTGCCTCTACGAGGTATTTGTATCTTGTGTAATTTAGAATTGTGCTTACGTGATCCAAAGTCTGAAATCTCCCTGTTTCTTCATTCCTTTCACTGTTCCCTCCATGTTCTCCCTGACCAGGAGCTGGCTCTGGACCATGTTTTTGGCTACAGAGGGTTTGACTGTCGCAACAACCTGCACTACCTGAATGACGGGGCCGACATCATCTTCCACACGGCGGCAGCCGGCATCGTCCAGAACCTCTCCACTGGTAATGCCACACACACAGCACCTGGAGACCCAAAATGCTTCATGTGGGAAACGGTTCTCATTGAAAGTCTTAACTTTTTAATATTCCTGTGGCTGTGCCACGTTTTGCCTCCTGATAAATAATGCACAGCCTGTGGGTGGCTGGTGGATCAGACTGACAGTTTTTCCCGCTCAGCTCATCCTGTAGTGAAGACACAGGAATGGTTTTCTCTCCCAGGAGGAGATTGTGGGTTATGAAATGATCAGTACCCCCAAAAATATTAGGAGCTGTAACATGCTTTGTTTCATTTTGAGTTGTTATAGCAAAGTCACGCCACAACAATTTTTTTTTGGTGCAGTCCAGCCCGGGCAAGTTGCTCTTTGGAAGGGGTAGAAATATTCCCTGTGTTTTGAGTAATGTAAAGGAGAAAAAAACACCAAAAATGTATCTGGCCCTAAGTTGTAGCACCAACATCTCCATATTTTTCACGTCTCTCAAAAAAAAGAGAGGAGTTAAAGGAATTGTGACTTGATTTTATTCCCAAATGGTCCCAGTTCTGCTGCCAAGGAGGGGCACAGGGAGGAAACCTGTCACATCTGGTGACCCTGGGGACTCCGGTCCTGGTGTGCCTCTGACCTGTGGCCCTGGGAACATGGATGGCCCTGGGAACAGGGGTGGCCCTGGGAACATGGGTGACCCTGGGAACATGGATGGCCCTGGGAACATGGATGGCCCTGGGAGGCATGGGTGGCCCTGGGAACATGGGTGGCCCTGGGAACATGGGTGGCCCTGGGAGGCATGGGTGACCCTGGGAACACGGGTGGCCCTGGGAAGCATGGATGGCCCCATCTGTTCTTTCTGGACCTGTTCCCTTGGGAGGGTTTCGTCTCCACTTTGCTTCCTGCTGACTGCCTGGTTTTACTGGGATTTTACTGGGAGACCTGGGCCTTTCACAGAGCAGTTTTGGTGTTTCTTGCAGTGGCTGGGGGCTGATTCCCTGGGTACAGCTAATTCCCCAAATACTGCCTTTATCTCTGTCTCTGTGTCTCTGTTTGGAATCTCTGTCTTTATCTCTGTCTCTGTTTGGGAATGGGCCTGGGGATGAGAGGGGGGCAGCCCTGGACACCTTTACTGTCCTCCCCCGTCCCCTGCAGAGCATCAACCAGCTCCAACAGTCTCTGCTCCAGGGGCTCTGCGGTGGCTGCTGGGGGGAATAAAGCCATGTTTGGGTTTTCCCAGGCAGCCAGAGTTTCTACCTGGAGCACACCGACGACATCCTGTGCCTGACCGTGAACCAGCACCCCAAGTACAAGAACGTGGTGGCCACCAGCCAGATCGGTACGTGAGCCATGCACTGAGGGCCACCCACAAACCACGGGGGCACTGGTGGATTTGGGGCTTTTTCCAGTGGGACTGTTACCAGTGTTACTGTCCTTTGGAAGAGGTAGTCAAGCTTCAGGCTTTTCTTGTGGTTTCAATTCCGTTTCTGGTCGTGAGTCATTGGATTTTGGAGTTAATTGTAGGATAATCGAATTTCACAGGGCAGGATTTGATAAACTGCCTAAATCATCTCCTTAGTCTGAGTTACAGTCTGAGTTTCCTTCCTGTATCCGAGGCACTGTTTAGCAGTGAGGATACTCTAAGGACCATTTCCTGTGCAGAAAAGGAGAGAAACAGAGGGAAATCTCAGCAGAAGTCAGGGACCAGTTGAGAAACCATATGGATTTAAGTGTTTATTACTCACATGGAGAGCCCTGTTAGATTCCCTGGGACCTTTGGCAGGAGTAAACATTGTATGGGGAATGTGGGATGACTTAGGAGATCTGCTGCCTTTCAGCTTCATGCTGTAATAATTAAGAACAGGACCAGAACTCCTAACTCAGACCATTCTGGAAGGAGACTCAAGTCCAGAACTTTAGGACAGAAGTAGTTTAACAAGGGACAGGAAAATGGTATCAATGATCAGTGTGACAAACCATCTACTGCCTGTACTGAGCACTGCCACTCAGTTTGAGTGTGGGGTGAACACCCAAACCTCCACGTGGTGCCAGGGCTGGTCAAAATGCTGTTTTCTGGAAAAAATGGCTGTTAAAGGGCCTTTTCTTAGGGCCCATGAGATCAGTGTTTCTGAGTTTGGTTGATACTTCCTTGTGTAACTACAGGTTCATTTCACTTTTAAATGGAGTAATTTTTCAAACCTGCATGTCTTTAGCCTTTCTTTTAAATGCCACTTTTAAAAGTCAAAAGTACTAAATATTGTTGCGATATTTGTGTATAAAACCCAATATACCCAAAAAAGTTCAACAATATTGCTGCTTATTTGTTTTGTTGATTTAATCCATATCCATTTTTCGAGTTTTTAATTTCTTTTTTCCTTCTGGTGCTGATGCTGGCACTTGAGCATGAGAAACACGACTTATTTCACCTATTGTTTTCCCTTGGTGCTTCCTCATTTGCCATTGCTCTCACAATGCAGGTGACATGACAGAATTCCCAGGTAAGGCTGACTCCTTTGTGAATTGTGGCAGAGTCGTGTACAAGTTTCATGTTGCCTCATTGTATCTGAGTCCCAGATACAAGTGAAACATCTACAATTTCCTTTGCATGAGGCTCTTCATAAATGTTATGTTGTTCTTTTAGAACTTGTCTGATTTCATGGACTGCAATGATTCCCCCTGTGTTTTGCAAGCTCTTATGATTTCTCTCTGTGTTCCAGTAGTGTTACTCTTCAAACAAAACCAAACCCCCAACTTCTGTCTGTTCAGGTTAAATGTTGAGTGCCTGGTTTGCACTGAGGCCTTCCAGCAGTAATCCTCTTTAATCCACCTCTTTGCCCCCAGGTACAACTCCCACAATCCACATTTGGGATGCCATGAGCAAGCAAACCATTTCAATGCTGCGCTGCTTCCACACCAAAGGGGTCAACTACGTGAACTTCAGTGCCACTGGCAAACTGCTGGTGTCGGTGGGGGTGGACCCCGAGCACACCATCACCGTGTGGAGGTGGCAGGAAGGTAAAAACCACGGAGAAGTCACCTTCCCTCAGCCCAACAGAACCGTGCTCAGTGATTGTTCACTTTGCCTTTCAAACCTTGGGACTAGATCTGTCTTCTTACTCCGAGTGTCACAGTTAAGGGAGGTGACAAAGGGCTAGAAAATATGGATAAGATGATAAATTTTGTACATCTGTTATAAGCAGAGGTTAAGGAAAGAACATTGCTCAGTACAAAATTACATGAAATTAAGGAAAGCAATTTCTTTTCCTTCTTAAAATCCTTGAAATTCTGTGCTGTAGGTAGGCCTTTGGGAAGTCATTTCCAGGAAAGAATTATCTTTGGGAAAGGTGGAGGGGAGAGGAAAAGTGCCTCAGCTCATTAGTGTGTCCCCGTGCATTTCACTGGATGGGAACTCACTGGTGATCTCCAGCATTTCTGTGCTGTTGTTTCACTGAGCCAGGAGGCACTTTGTGCTGTGAGGGCCTTAAATCTGCATTTCCTAAAACCGTGGGGTGCAGTGGAGTAACCAGGGGCCTCATGGCTCGAATGCATTAAGATTCATACACTAAATAATGTCGTGCTTTGCAGCTTTCAGCATCTGGGACACAGATCCCTAATCCAATACCAGGTCAATTGATTTTATAAAATCCTATCAGTGCTTATTTTGACAGGTAAATTTAACTTTATTTTTATCCTTTCCTAATTCAAACAGGGGCTAAAGTTGCCAGCAGGGGAGGACACCTGGAGAGGATCTTTGTTGTAGAATTCCGGCCGGATTCCGACACCCAGTTTGTGTCCGTTGGGGTGAAGCACATGAAGTTCTGGACGCTGGCTGGCAGTGCTTTGCTCTACAAGAAAGGAGTCATTGGCTCCATGGAAGATGCCAAAATGCAAACCATGCTTTCTGTTGCCTTTGGAGCAGTAAGTTCGAATTCCTTGCTACGGAATTGTATATTAAGGTTTTATTAAAACTGCAGTTTTCTGTGTTGAAATCCAGCCCAGGGGGGATGGTGCTTGTTAGTGAAATGCAGATTTAACACCTGCACACCTCGAGACCTTTACCTTTCTAAGCACAACCGGGTGTCTGTTGGTGAATGGTTTTTATTAATGGCCGTGCACACCCACTGCCTGGCTTTTATTTTCTTTGCTTTCCTGGTTATTTAGCACTTCACTGGTTAAAAAACTGTAATACTGTTATTTTGTGTATAGACTCTGCAACCTTTTTCTCTGCTGATGGTATTTGGTGTGACAGTGATAGAACCAATGGTGACAGCACAGACCACTGTGCAGACCAGACCATAGACCACTGTGCAGAGTGGTCATGAAGGAATTGTGAATTTGATTTAAGGGATTGCGGTTGGGGCTGAACAGAAATGCAGAGGTGTCTCTTACATGTGAGGTTGCTGCTGTTTGTTGCAGAATAACCTCACGTTCACGGGTGCCATCAATGGAGATGTCTACGTGTGGAAGGACCATTTCCTGGTCAGGCTGGTGGCCAAGGCTCACACAGGCCCCGTGTTCACCATGTACACGACGCTGCGGGACGGACTCATCGTGACAGGAGGGAAGGAGAGGCCGTAAGACACTTCCCCTTCCTGCAGTGCACTCCTGTGTGCTTGCTGTGTTGAGTTGTTCATCCACCACCCCAGAGATAACTGGGCTCTGTGCTGGAGCAGTTCCACTCTCAGTTTTGCATAACCTGCCCAGCTGTCTCAGTAAGTCAAGGACCAGAGGAGGACACACTCCAGGGTGGCAGTTACACACCAGGGTCACACTGAACCTCTTAGGGATTGATCTGAACACCTGGATAAGCTCCTTGTTGCCTGAACTCCTGCCATAATGAGATTTTCTTAATTTCTTAATTCTGTCAAACTCCAGCCAACCCCTCCCAATGGAGACTCTGTAAGACCTTCAAGTTATCAGAAGTACCATTTGCCAAGTGACAGAGATTTGAGATTAAATGACAAGAGAACAATTGGATTTGGGGTGTTTTCTGAACAAGAGAACAAATTAATGATGCTGTTGAAAATATGAGGTGTGAAAACATTTGATTTCTGATTTACTTTCCATAGCACGGTAGCGAGGAGTCCTTACATATGGCAGAGATGATTCAGTGTGTGCTCTGTGACTGAAGCAGGAAAACACTGATGGGATTTGCAGATGGGATTTGTGGTGAAGGAGACACTTGGGTAACACAACCCCCTTCTTTGCAGCACCAAGGAGGGGGGAGCAGTGAAGCTCTGGGACCAGGAGATGAAGCGGTGCCGGGCCTTCCAGCTGGAGACGGGGCAGCTCATCGAGTGCGTGCGCTCCGTGTGCCGGGGCAAGGTGAGGGAGCTGCACCGGGGGGAGAGGAGACTTTACCTCCCTGCTACTGTTCCTTCTTCTCATCTTCCTGAGCTCAGGGGTGGGCTTGAAGCTGCATTTGTGATGCTTGGTGCCAGCCTCTGCTCCAGGGTCAGCAGGGGCAGGGCAGGGCTCGGCAGGCCCCCAGGGACAGTGCTGAGTGCAGGGCCACGTTTCATCACCCAGGCCCTCACCTCCTGGTTTGCTTTTCAAACAGCAAAGGGAATTTAGGTACCTGCAAGGTTTGCTTCCCATGAAAGGCAGGCACAGCTTGGGTGCTTCCCTGGGGCACAGTGGATCACAGCTTTTGTTTTATTGAAGTCAGAAAAACCCCAGGTTGCCACTGAGAATTACTGAGGGACTTTGGTAAAGTGGAAAACAAGAGAAATAAGAGAGTAGTTTGACTTGCTGAAGTCGTTGTTGCCCACGTTTAAATTGTACTTGTAAATGTGTCCTTGCAAATGCTCCATGAAAGGAGGGTGTGATGCTGCACGTCAGTGACTGTCCCCTGAGCTCTGCTTCACTGGGTGCACCAAGGCCCTGGAATTTGCCATACTCTGATAACACCCCCACTGGGGAATGTTGTTTTCTATTTCCAACCCAGTAGCCATTAACCAGTTCCAAACTGTACCTGCTTTTTCCAAGTATTTGCCAAAGAAAGCTCTTGTAGTGCAGACCGTGAGAGGATGTTACTGTTGCACTGACAACCTCTGTCCATTCTTTTCTTCTGCTACAAACAGGGGAAAATCTTAGTGGGAACAAAAGATGGAGAAATCCTTGAAGTAGGAGAAAAAAACGCTGCTTCAAACTTGTTGATTGACTGTCACATGGAAGGGGAGATCTGGGGCTTGGCAACTCACCCCTCCAAAGACATATTTATCTCTGCAAGCAACGATGGAACAGCGAGGATCTGGGACCTGGCAGACAAAGTGAGTATCCCCAAGTGGAAAAGCTTGTGATTAGATGGGAATGTTTTATAGAACCCATCGTGTTGCTTCAGGGTTTTTTTCCCAAGACAAATTGACTAACAACAACCATTTCTAAAACCAACAGATCAATAAAACATTTTAAAAAAATTGCAGAAAGGTTTCTGCTCCTGCTGGGTAACATAAATCTTTTCAAAAGGTCCTTAGCTAAGCTAGCAGGGATCATTTTTAATAAGGGGAATGAATATGTTATAAACACAATCAGCAAAGAGAAAGTGCTACCAGTTGTAGGAGGTATTAAAGTCACAGATCAGGAAATTGATTTTTTGTCTTTTTCTGCTGTGAAACTGGATGTCACCCTACAAACTAGATGCAAACATGAAACCCCCCTGTGAATTCCATGCACATTCCAAAGCCTGCTCTGCACCATATGCCTGGTGGGACGCGAGTCGGGGTGTGAAACTCCGGGTTTATGTTTAGAGGGAAACAGAGGAGCGGCTTTGCTGGGAACGAGGCGCGTTCGAGGCGCCGTGTTTGGCAGCTGTCCCTGCCCGGGGAGGTGTGAGCCTGTCGCTGTGTCCCCACAGAAGCTGGTGAACAAGGTGGCCCTGGGGCACCCGGCCCGCTGTGCCGCCTACAGCCCCGACGGGGAGATGGTGGCCATCGGCATGAGGAACGGCGAGTTCGTCGTCCTGCTGGTCAACAGCCTCAAGGTCTGGGGCAAAAAGCGGGACAGGAAGTCAGCAATCCAGGACATCAGGTAGGAAATCCCACCTCAGGCGCTCCAAATGCACCGCCCCGGCTCCAGGAAATGGCCAGCAAGGTCCACATTTCCAAAAGGTTTCGTAACTCCGTGTTTGTTGAAACCTGTGTGAAATGGAGACGTGCACTCCCGTACCTAAGGCTTGCATTTCCATTTACCTAAAGCTTGTGTATATCTTGGATACCACACACTTCTTTTCCCCTGTGATCGGTTGCAGCCACACCGCAGAGCTGTGACTATGGGAGTTAATATGACAGTACTTTTCCAAATTGCAAGTCCTGTTGTGTATCCCAGAGGATTAGAGTTACTCTGCACATGGCAAGTGCAATGTTAGCACCAGTTAACTACAAACAGTGTAGACTGAAATCACAGAATGCTTCAGGTGGGAAGGGACCTTAAAGCCCATCCAGTCCCACCGCCTGCCATGGGCAGGGACACCTTCCCCTATCCCCAGGTTGCTCCAAGCTCCATCCAACCTGGCCTTGGACACTTCCAGGGATGGGGCAGCCACAGCTTCTCTGGGCAACCTGTGCCAGGGCCTCACCACCCTCACAGCCAAGAATTCCTTCCCAATCTCCCATCTAACCCTGCCCTCTGGCAGAGATATCCTCAGTCTTCCTCTTCATGGTTTGAGTTCAATCTTGCTGTTAATAGAATTTTTTTTTTGTTTTCCAGTAAAAAAATTACTGTTGTGTTGTCATGAGAAACAAAAGCAAGTCTTGCACAGAAACAGTGACATCCCCATTCCGTGTTTTCTTGTGTAGGATCAGCCCAGATAACAGGTTTCTGGCAGTGGGGTCACAGGAACACACTGTGGATTTCTATGATCTCACCCAAGGCACAACCCTGAACCGAATCGGGTACTGCAAGGACATTGCCAGCTTTGTCATCCAGATGGACTTCTCTGCAGACAGCAGGTACATCCAGGTATGTCTGGGATGGCCCTGGAGGGTGGGACTGACTGTGCCAGCAGGACAGGAGGGAGGCACGAGGTGTGCGAGGGCGAAGGATCCCCTGGGCGAGGGAACGGGGACGACACTGGGAAAGGAGCTGGGGATCATAACCCTGGGGGATGGCTGGGACTGTGAGAGCTCACCTGACTGGGGAGGTTTCCTCAGAAATGGTTCTGATTTAGTAAAATTGGGTTGAGATAAGGCAGAGAGTGTGGAACAGAAAGGAATCTGTCAGCTCTGCCAGGAACCATCTTCCTGTAACACCAACATCATGTTGCACGGGATGGATTTTACACAACCAAGAGAAAGGAGAGATTTTATCCCAGATGTTTCATTCCTGGTCAAACTGGTTGCTGCTGGCAGTCCTGCAGAGGATGCTGGATCTCTGGCAGAGGTCTCAGCTGTTTCCTTTCCCACTCCCAGGTCTCCACGGGCGCCTACAAGCGCCAGGTTCACGAGGTGCCCCTGGGGAAGCAAATCACAGACCCTGCAGCCATAGAGAAGATCACCTGGGCCACGTGGACCAGGTACAGCCAGGGACATCTCCCGCGGGCTCTGGCACACCCCTGGGGCTGTCTGGGGTCTGCACAATTACACCAGGGGTGTCCCAGAGCCACAGGGCTCCTGTCCTGGGCCCCTCCCACAGCCCAGGCCACTGCAGCTTCCTTTCCCCTGTCCCACCCCAGCCAATGCCGGCAGCACAGGAGGCCTGGAAGTGTGTCTTGGGCGTGCTGAGAGGTTGTGTGGTCATTAAAATACATTCCCTGACAGGGATCCACCCAGGAGCCTCTGGCCAGGAGTGCAGAGCTGTGGCTGTGCTCCCCTGCAGGAAGTGGGACAGGGGATCCTGCAGGATCTGACAGGGGGTGAGAACCAGGCGGGTTTAGAAGGGAAATGAGAATCCTCCTCCTCCGGCTGCTCTGCTGCCAGGCATAAAAACGTGCCCCAAATTCCCTGTTTGTGAGGGCTCCTGACAACTGGTGGGAGGGGGCAGGCGCCTCTGGCACCCACTGGGTGGGTAAATAGCAACAGTTGCAGAGGAACTGGAACCAAGGGCAGAACAGCTATTTTTGAGAACCAGTTGCCCTCCAAAGAAGAATTCCCGCCCTGAGGAGGGAACTGGCCTCCCTCACTGGCCAAGGGAACACGGGGTCAGGAATGCCTGGGGAGGGCACATACAAATCCATAAGGGATGGAGGAGACCCAAGCTGCACCAGGCGCTTGTATGGAACAGTGCCAGTGGTTTCACAGGAGATAAACCTCAGCATTTATGGATAGAGGTGGTTATAGGGTCACACAAAACCCCTGTACTCTTGTGATGGTCTCCATGATGAGATCATGTTCAGGGCAGTGATTTAGAGGAAAAACCTTGTTTCAAAGGCAGCAATTCCTCATTATTGGGCTGTGTTGCCTCCCCATCGTGTGGAAGAGCAGCAGCAAGTCAGTCCTGTGGTCTAATGCTTTTATTTCACCCTGTTTTGGAGCATCCTGGGAGATGAAGTCCTTGGGATCTGGCCCCGCAACGCAGACAAGGCAGACGTGAACTGTGCCTGTGTGACCCATGCTGGGCTCAACATCGTCACGGGGGACGACTTCGGGCTCGTGAAGCTCTTTGACTTCCCCTGCACAGAAAAATTTGTGAGTGGCTGCTTGATTTTCACCTCTCCAGCTTTTGTTTTTCCCAAACTCCTCAGCACTGGGTTCCCCAGCACCCAAACCACACGGTCCATCGCCGACAGCTCCCAGGAGAGCCCGGGGGTGACACGGACTGGGCCAATGGACCTGGGATTGCTGTGGGGCCCAGTCTGTCTGTGCCCCCTCCTGAGCTCCTGTGGCCCCTCCTGGTCTGTCTGTGTCCCCTCCTGAGCTCCTGTGGCCCCTCCTGGTCTGTCTGTGGCCCCTCCTGGTCTGTCTGTGGCCCCTCCTGAGCTCCTGTGGCCCCTCCTGGTCTGTCTGTGTCCCCTCCTGAGCTCCTGTGGCCCCTCCTGGTCTGTCTGTGGCCCCTCCTGGTCTGTCTGTGTCCCTCTGAACTGCTGTTCCTGCCCACAGGCCAAACACAAGCGGTACTTTGGGCACTCGGCGCACGTCACCAACATCCGCTTCTCCCACGACGACAAGTATGTGGTGAGCACCGGGGGAGACGACTGCAGGTAAGGCCGGGCTTGGTTTGGAGTTCAGCCAGGGCTGCACTCACACACACACACACAGAGACACACACACACGGACACACAGACACACACGGACACACACACACAGACACACACACACACGGACACACACACACACACGGACACACACACACAGACACACACACAGACACACACACACACAGACACACAGACACACACAGACACACAGACACACACAGACACACACACACAGACACACACACACACACAGAGACACACACACACACGGACACACACACACACAGAGACACACACACACAGACACAGACACACACAGACACACAGACACACACAGACACACACACAGACACACACACAGACACACACACACACACACAGAGACACAGACACACACAGACACACACAGAGACACACACACAGACACACACACGCACACGGACACACACACAGACACACACACACACACGGACACACACACACACAGACACACACAGACACACACAGCGACCACCACACACCAGACACGACACCCCACACACAGAGCCACACACACAGACACACACACACAGACACACACACACACGAGGGACACACACCACCGGACCATACACACACAGACCACACACCAGAGACCACACACACACAGAGACACACACACACGGACACACACACCCAGCCACACACACGGACACACACACAGACACACACACAGACACACACGGACCCACACGCAACAACACGCTAAGCACACGCAACAACACGCTAAGCACACGCAATGCACACCCTAAGAACACGCTACAACACGCTAAGAACATGCTAAGAACACGCAACAACACACTTAGAACACGCACCAACACGCCAAGAACACGCAACAACACGCTAAGCACACGCTAAGCACACGCAACACGCTAAGCACACGCAACAACACGCTAAGCACACGCTAAGCACACGCAAGAACACGCTAAGAACACGCAACAACACGCTAAGCACACACAACAACACGCAAAGCACATGCTAAGCACACGCAACAACACGCTAAGCACACGCTAAGCACACGCTAAGCACACGCAACAACACGCTAAGAACACGCAACAACACGGTAAGAACACGCTAAGCACACGCAACAACACGCTAAGAACACGCTAAGCACACGCAACAAGATGCAACAACACGCTAAGAACACGCTAAGCACACGCAAGAACACATTAAGAACACGCTAAGCACACGCAAGAACACGCTAAGAACACGCTAAGCACACGCAACAACATGCTAAGCACACGCTAAGCACACGCAACAACATGCTAAGCACACGCTAAGCACACGCAACAACATGCTAAGCACACGCAACAACACGCTAAGAACACGCTAAGAACACGCTAAGCACACGCAACAACATGCTAAGCACACGCTAAGCACACGCAACAACATGCTAAGCACACGCTAAGCACACGCAACAACATGCTAAGCACACGCAACAACACGATAAGCACACGCAACAACACGCTAAGCACACGCAACAACACGGTAAGAACACGCTAAGAACACGCAACAACACGCTAAGCACACGCAACAACACGCTAAGCACACGCAACAACACACTAAGAACACGCTAAGAACACGCAACAACACGCTAAGAACACGCTAAGCACACGCAAGAACACGCTAAGAACACGCAACAACACGCTAAGAACACGCTAAGCACACACAACAACACGCAACAACATGCTAAGCACACGCAACAACACGCTAAGAACACGCTAAGCACACACAACAACACGCTAAGCACACACAACAACACGCTAAGCACACGCTAAGCACACGCAACAACATGCTAAGAACACGCAACAACACGCTAAGAACACGCACCAACACGCCAAGAACACGCAACAACACGCTAAGCACACGCTAAGCACACGCAACACGCTAAGCACACGCAACAACACGCTAAGCACACGCTAAGCACACGCAAGAACACGCTAAGCACACGCAACAACACGCTAAGCACACGCAACAACACGCTAAGAACACGCAACAACACGCTAAGCACACGCTAAGCACACGCAAGAACACGCTAAGAACACGCAACAACACGCTAAGAACACGAACACGCTAAGCACACGCTAAGAACACGCAACAACACGCTAAGCACACGCAACAACACGCTAAGCACACGCAACAACACGCTAAGAACACGCAACAACACGCTAAGCACACGCAACAACACGCTAAGAACACGCTGAGCACACCCTAAGAACACGCTACAACACGCTAAGAACATGCTAAGAACACGCAACAACATGTTAAAAACACGCTAAGCACACGCCAAGAACACACAACAACACGCTAAGCACACCCTAAGAACACGCTACAACATGCTAAGAACATGCTAAGAACACGCAACAACACACTAAGCACACGCAACAACACGCTAAGAACACGCCTAGAACACGCAACAACACGCTAAGCACACGCAAGAACACGCTAAGCACACGCAACAACACGCTAAGCACACGCAACAACACGCTAAGCACACGCAAAGCACACCCTAAGCACACGCAACAACACACTAAGAACACGCTAAGAACACGCAACAACACGCCAAGAATACGCAACAACACGCTAAGAACACGCTAAGCACATGCAACACGCTAAGCACACGCAACAACACGCTAAGAACACGCAACAACACGCTAAGCACACGCAACAACACGGTAAGAACACGCTAAGCACACGCAACAACACGCTAAGAACACGCAACAACACGCTAAGCACACGCTAAGCACACGCAACAACACGCTAAGCACACGCTAAGCACACGCAACAACACACTAAGAACACGCTAAGCACACGCTAAGCACACGCAACAACACGCTAAGAACACGCAACAACACGCTAAGAACACGAACACGCTAAGAACACGCTAAGCACACGCAACAACACGCTAAGAA